AGGGGAGCTTTTTTTCTGGCTTTAGGTAATGAATTCTCCAGAAGTTGGAAGGTTGTAGTTAAAAGGCATATTTTATGTGAAATAAAACAAAAATAAAGCGACATGTATACTGACAAAAGCATGCCTCAAGTTCAGTGTAGGATTTTTTTTTTTTTAATAGTGACTGAGCATTAAACCTACTGAAAGATATAACTTACAGCATACCTTGATTTAATAGCGAATCTGTTCGTTAGTATTAAAATAAAAAAACCAAATATAAATTAAACATCTATTTATGTCACTTGTGAAACATCCATCCATTAACATGTTCACAAAAATGTCGGCGAATTGTCTGTCGTCAAATTATATGCGAACAAATTGGCTATCGGCGAAACTTCCTATCGGCAAACTTGCCATTCGGCGTATTTCGGTCAATAGTCTGTCGGCCAAATATCTATTGGCGAAATGTCTGTTGGTGAAACGTCCGGGCACGCAATCAACTCGTTAATATGTAACGTATGTAACGAATCTAATACATGATGAGGATATAGTAGTAAATACATCTATACTATAAATACGCCACTTGTGCGGTTCACAGGTAAGAAAGCTAAAATTATTCGTTAGCACTTCCTTATCTATTTACATATTGTATGGAATATATTTTTATAACAGTCACGAAAAGATTTGTTGCACATACCATACACAATCGGGTTTAACATTGACGTCATGTATACCAGTAAAAAAAAGACATAGAATAGCAGGCTGCATCGACGGCTTTCTTCTTGGGCAACTATATTGTGAATAGTTAAAGGCAGTGTGCAGATGCTAAAAACACCAAGTATTATTGAAGTTACCAGCGCTGCTTTGAAATCGGATTTCCTAGCCTGTATTGCCTGGCTTGTTGAGGATGCCACCTGCCTAGATATTTTTTTCGCTTTGCAGTATATACGCAGATGACAGGCGTACATAGGAATTGCAACAAAAATAGTGCCTATGTAACTCACCTCGTTATACACATCCTCATTGTACAATGGTGAGAGGAGAACAGCCATCACTAAAAGTGCTACTGTCCACACAACAATTAGAAATATTACTACCGATCGAGTGTGTACTTTTACATTGTACACATATGGATACATGATAGCAAAATATCTCTCTCCCGCTAAAAACATATGGTGGAAAAGAGAAAATCCCACACCTGATACGGACAGTTTCTGAATAAGCCATCCAACTGTATCTCCAAAGTAAAAAAATCGTCCACGAAGAGCAAGACGGAGTACAACAAAGATGCCAATAAACCCTGTTAATATATCTAAAACTGCCATGCTAGCTAGTATTAGGTAACACGGTTTTCGCAATGATGGGATTCTGTAGACAGAAAAGATTACGAATATATTTCCTATAATAACACAGAGTGTTATAACTGCAAAAGGAATTGACAACATTTTAGGAAACACACAAATTGGAGCAGTATCTGTATTGTTCACCATGCTGATTGCTTTGTAGGCCTTCACGCTCTCGACGTTATAAGAGCAGCAAAGTTCCTGGTTGCTGCTTAAATACCGGTATGCAGTCAGCTAAAAATACCTTAAATAAATTACATAATCTTGCGATCTAAAAATAATCGTCATGATAACCTTGTATCATAACAGAGCGAATCCTTATAGTCATAGCAGGGGTGGCGCCAGGATTTGCCCGACGGGGGCGGGGGCCGAGGTCCCCGTCGAGGGGTCAGATTTCCCAGAGGAAAGCAAAGTGGGGGTGGTCGAGCTTCGATTGAAAGGTTCCGAAAGTGGTCCTGGGGGCGGCCAGCTCTCCCCGACGGGGGGGGGGGGCCCTCCGTCATTTGTAATAATTGACCTATTTTCAGCATGTTTTGTTATTCAAAACGTTTCCTAATTGAAATTCATGGAAAGTATATTGCATTCCGTCACAATCTGCTCATAATTTCTAAAAATCTATCTATTTAAATATTTATTTGTTTGCATAATTTTAAGAACGACATGGTGTAAAGGAAAAAAATGTAATATTTAATTGACTGCATACCGGTAAGAATAAAAAAAAAAATACTTAAAAATAGATTTCTAGTTTGTAAAACAGAACGTAGGCTTTTTCTCATTGACATAATACTCTGATGTTGAAAATCATAAATGATAATATTTAAAAAAAAAAAGATTACGACGTAAACAAAAACCTTCGGAGGAAAAACATATACGAAATTTTCAAAATATCCAGTGGCGGATCCAGTAATTTGAAATAGAGCTGGGCCCAGAGAGGGACTTTTACAGATGGAGAGTGTAGAAAAAAAAATTATGATTATGACACCTTTAGATTGCCGGAAATGGCACTCTCAGACCTAAATTCTAATTCTAATTTTCCTTTGTATTTTACATTTTTAAAAAACAATTTTGAAAAATTTAGGGTCGGCTCGGCCCCACTTGAACGAATCCGCCACTGATTATTATGACGTCATTGCGAGATTTCGTCAACGTAACACTGGAGTTTGTAAACTTTTGGTAGGCCTATCACTTAATCGGAATAGATAGACATATCCGTGTCAAAGGCTGTATAATTATTGTTTAATAATGGCTATATGAAATTCAATTGACGACCTATGATTTTTTGAAATAGGGAAAAACAGTAATCCTATGTATGAAGGTAATATTAAACACTAGTATATACGTACGGGTAATAATAATATACAAAAGAAATAATCGTTTATAGTAGAAATTGTGCACTTTTGAGTTTGTAAAAATATTGGCCTAATAAGTATACATGCTTGCAATTTTAACAACGTTCAGTACATTGTTTTCACAATAAATTTAGCCTCTGATAACCGTTGCACCCACAAAACCGATCTAGTGGTTTCTGAGATGGTTACGAAATGTATAAACAATTGCGTTTTTACTCTGTTTTGGTCCGGAAAATACATACCGCACTTAAAAAAGTGAACAGACAAAATTGATCATGCGAGTCATGCGTAATTGTTATTCTTTCCATTCGCTTTTAAAAGTTAAAAGTGGGGTTTTAATTATAGAAGATTGGTGAAAAGTGGGGGGGGGGGAACACTCGATATGATATCCCCCCTACTTTGAAAAGTGGGGGGCGTCCCCCTTGTCCCCACCGATAAGATGTGCCTATGTGGTGAGTTTCCTTTATTTGGAAAAATTGTAGCTAATGGTTAAATTGATACTGTAAATCGGTTACCCACCCTTTAATATATTCCGATCTCTTTTTCTTCCTGTTCTAAAGGCCATTCTAAGTCTCTGTAGCCCTTTCATATTTCAATCATAGCTTTCTTTAACACGTCATAGTCCTTGGCCCTGTCCTTATCTAACTTATGCCTGTTTAATTTTCCCGTCAACTCACGAGTCAATTTTGCGGCCCAAATGTTTTTATCCTATGTTATTTGACTCCGTCAATTTTTCAAAGGCACAGGCCTAATATATGCATCATCTTTATCCTTATTCAATTTAGGAACCCTTCCCTAATCATGGCATTTACAATTTCTGTGTACGATTACAGAGCCTTGAGTAGCACTCAATTATATTTAATTTTAATTTAAATTTTTGCTGCATTTCTAATCTCTGTCTCCTCCACCATTTCTATTCTCCTCGTTTCCTCTTTCTACATTCTTTATTCTCAACCAACAGTGTAAAACACCAATAATAGGTTGAAATAAAATTTTCAGAAAACAGAGCATAAATATACAATACAAATTAAAAAACGAGTTCATTAATAATACTTTTAAATTGCGAGTAATTACAGTTAAAAAATATCCAAAAAATTATTCTTTAAAAGACAAGCGTTATAAGCTGACGAAATTCTACGGAAAATACCATTTTTACAAACATTTACACGAGAATATTTAACATGAAGAAAAGGTTTATAACGAAGATTACGAGGAGGTACATTAAAATGAAACATAGATACAAGATTACATTTTAACTTAGAGTTAAGACTTTTGTACACAAAGTATAAATCCTGTCTTGCTCTCCTAGACGTCGGAGAAATGATAAGAGGCCAATTCATTTCATTCTAGATATATAACATTACATTGTTTAAAATTTCAACCATTGCTGTGGTGTAACATTAGGTGTATGCTTAACTCTTGATCCTCTAATCGATTCAAGTTATTTGCTACATCCTCATCATGTTGTGGTAAATCTGCAACCTCCTGTATTTCCCCTCAGGAACGTTTACTTGTAGCGAATAGTAACACCAGTCGCAATTCTACGCGATTTTACACTGATGCCAATATTGAAAGTTCAATGAAACTAATTATCGTCTTTAACCTGTCAGTAACTTAAGGATAGGCAATTTCAAACTGAAGCTACCTTATACTACCATCAAGAACATGTATAAAATTCCAAAAAACATGCAATCAACTTAATTTACCAACGAAAAAAAAAAAAAAACAATTTGCAGTTATAATTTCCAAGTACATTATAGTCTTATTAATATTTTATTGTATTATTATCTACCTATCTATCCATACGTCCGTCCGTCCGTCTATTAAAGTAATAACATCAAAATGTTAAAAATACACAAGAATACGACGTATTACAAATATATAGAAAGTTAAAATTTACAAGTGGGAGGACACATTTGGTCGGTATCTTTTATTCATTTACATATAAAATTCAAAAATTACCAGCACAGACTGAATTACAATTTGAATGTACGGTACAAATTAGGCAAATCAATAAATTAATATACAATTCAATAAAAGAAGAATGAATTAAGTTAGCTATATATAAATTGAATTAAAAAAAAGGCAAATTGATTGAGTTAATGTTTAAATATAATTAGATACAGAAAATTAAAAATTTTTCCTGTGGTGGGATGGAGGG